ATATCGGATAGATACCAAGCTGTAAAAATGAATAATTTTGTATCTAACTTTATCTTAGTTTCCTCTGGTGTGTTTCAGGGTAGTCACTTGGGGCCGATCTTATTTATAGCTTATATTAATGATATCTATGAATGCTTCCACCATGCTTTTCTGCTTTACTCTGATGATTGTAAAGTATTCTCAAACGTTCAATCAACTTCTGACTGTGTAAGGTTATAAACTGATCTAGACAGATTACAAATATATTGCACAAACAATTTCCTTTACTTAAATTATGACAAATGCAATCACATAGCGTCCAGCAGAAAAAGATACCCAGTGAATTTCACTTATAGGCTTGGACCGGGCCCTTTGAAAGCATTGTCGGAGGTGAAGGATCCTGGCGTTGTCCTGGATTCAAAATTACTTTGCAATTACCATGCTGATGAGTTACTCCGTAAAGCTAACAGGCGCTTAGGATTCATCATTAGAATATCAAGACCTTTTACTGATATTCATTGCAGTAAAACTTTATACATGGCTTATGTTAACAGTATATAAGAAAGAAAAATAAAAAACTTCGTACTTGCTAGAATTTTAATTTATACGGTACTAGTTTCGAGCCATTAAGCTCATCCTCAGCCGAATCTGATTAAAAAGGAAAACATATGTTAACAATGTTCTTGATTACGCTTCGGTTGTCTGGCCCTATGTATACTACGAATATTGACCGCATTGAGGCTTTACAGAGAAAATTCGTACGATACTTAACTCACAAGTTCAGAATACCATACTGTACATACGAGCAAAGATGTAGAGTTTTTGGTTTGCGATCATTGCACTGAAAAAAGTAATGTGGGAAAACTACCTAAAATTTAGTCATATTATCTAAAATTTTTAGTCAAAAATTAGCTAACTACTACTACTAGTTATAAAAACTAATTCTATTTCGATAATTTAAGATAGATAAATGATCGAAAAATATATCTTATAAATACCTAATCTAATTAGTTTCATTATATAATATTAATACATGTTTTTACCATTAATATTATTTTTATTATTAATGATAGTAGATAGCTTTATTACTTAAATATAGACGTCTTACCTAATTTTTTTGTATTAAGAAATATTTTCTATAAACGATCGATGTAACGATGAATAAAATATTAAATAAAGTATTTAATAATAGTACATTTGTCCATTTAGGTAAAATATTTCATTGTTAAATGTACATAAATATTCAGACTACTTTAGGTAACTAAACTACTCAACAACTAGACTTATCAACCAACTTCCACGATGTAGTTTCTTTTTCTAAAAATTAGTTATATTACCTCAGTAAATAGATAAATTAACTATCATAAATTTGACTAATTAGCATTGTATACGTCAGCTAAATTACGTTAGGTAAATGAATAAATTTTCTAGCAAAAATGACTATTTGTCTAACAACTAAAGTGATTTAGTTCAATTTTCCATATCATTTTTCTCAGTGTGCGGGGACGTCGAGTGCCCTCTGATGTGTTATTTCTGTTTAAAATGATCAGTGGATCGGTTGACTCGCCCGAGCTTGTCTGACAAATTTCATTTGCTGTTCCGAATTATCCCACATGAGATCAATGTTTGTTTCGACTACCCGCTTTCTCGACAAACGCGTACACTGAGAAAAATAATGTGGGAAAACTATCTAAAATTTAGTCATATTATTTAGAATTTTTAGTCAAAAATTAGCTAACTACTACTACTAGTTATAAAAACTAATTCTATTTCGATAATTTAAGATAGATAAATGATCGAAAAATGTATCTTATAAATACCTAATCAAATTAGTTTCATTATATATTAATAGATGTTTTTACTGTTAATATTATTTTTATTATTAATGGTAGTAGATAGCTTTATTACTTAAATATAGACGTCGTACCTAAATTTTTCACTGTAATATCGACGATTTGTAGTCAAAATATCTCATTGTTGGTAGGTGTTATTGCAACATTGTTTTGATGTATTATATAATAATATATTTATATTAACTACTGCAAATAGTTGAATTTAATATTAACGATAGTTCGGTTATCAAAATATTGTAAATCTTTTGATCACTTTTTGTGTTTAAAATGTCTATTAATGTTTATTATTCATATCCGTTTCACTAGATACTTTATCAAGATATATCTATAAAGAAAACAAGTATACATATATATAACAATTATATTTTCAAATATATTGTGGTAATTACACTAAATATCAACAATTGTTTTTCTTAAACTATAAAGAATACATATCAATAACAGAAACTATAAAAGAACTACATATCATTTTTTATTTAATAAAACGAAGAAAAAAAGACTTATTCGATTGGTGGTTTTAATTTTACGAATGAGCAATCATCATTTAAAGTAATAATATTTATCGATGGATAAGTACAACATGATATATATATTCAAAATGTTAGTGACGAAACTTTGAAGTTGCTGAACCAAATAAGATAAAGTATAATCGTCGTATTTTCTAATGTTTACAATACTATAGTAACAAAATAGTGCACGTTGGCAACACAAATTATAGCGTACATAGTGAAATTGTAAACCATGGACAGAGTTGCTATCTTTTATTACGATTACCTCATTTTTTCTATACTTAGTATTATTTATTGTTATATGAGTACACGATAACACATTATTTAAAAGGGAACATGAAGAAGGAAGCGCCGTTGTGTTTAGTTCTTTTTGTAATTCGCGACGGTAATGAAAGCTATTACAGTACTCAAACGGGTGCTGTAATGAGACTCCTTACAGCATCCGATGCTGTAATGAGATTTTAGTAACATTTTATTGAACCAGTTCAAATTGGTGACATTGGGTCATTAATTTTTCTAGTTGTCAATGTGACAATTTTTGTCTATGTATGTTTAAACACGTTCTTAGCATCGAATACAAAGGTCCACAATGATGAGGACATTGAACTGAGCAATTTCTCTTATTTTGGGAGGTGTACATGAAACATTTTTTTCAGGTGAATACATTTTGTGTTTTGACAGTTTCTAATTGTCAATTCAAATTTCTATTTTCAAGTGTTACGGTGTTACCAACTGCTGCATACCTATTTACCTACATTGTCAAAATTGATTTTATTTTTGTTAAAAAAAAAGGATAAAAACGCGAATTACAAAAATAGCATAAAAAACACGTTTCATAAGACTTAAAGCACTCATTCATTAAAAAACTCGTGGCTTCGCCACTCGTTTTTCAACTTGAATTCGTGCATTTCAAGCGTGTCTTACGAAACTTGTTTTTTAATATACTATTACTTACATTACTTAAATTTAGATATTCATATTTATGAGGAACTTCACTGCAATTTCTGAACGAATGTAAGTAATTGGCTAATGTAAGTAACGTGCAATTCCCACTGCTGTAACAAAGTAGTTATAGTATCTTGCACTTGCAATTCCATTTTTATTTCTTACCAAATCGTAAAAACACTCCGAATACCTAAACACGTTAATATTAGTTGACCTCCCTCTAACAAAACAAGAGTACAGTCTTTCAGGTTTGTAACTGTAATAATGAAGAAAGTTTATAACCGCAAGTTGGTAGCGAATCTTCAAAAACAGATGCTTTATCGATCGTTTTCGATGATGAAAAAACAAGTTTTGTATTAAGAAATATTTTCTATAAACGATCGACATAACGATGAAAACAGGTAGACAAAACGACTAAAATACATTTAAATAAAGTATTTAATAATAGTATATTTGTCCATTTAGGTAATATATTACATTGTTAAATGTATACAGAAATTCAGACTAGAACAAAATAGACAAAAATACCAAATACCTTAGGTAACTAAACTACTCAACAACTAGACTTATCAAGTAGTTTCCACGATGTAGTTTCTTTTTCTAAAAATTAGTTAGATTACCTCAGTAAATAGATTAATTAACTATCATAAATTTGAATAATTAGCATTGTATACGTCAGCTAAATTACGTTAGGTAAATGAATTAATTTTCTAGTATAAATGACTATTTGTCTAACAACTAAATTTATTTAGCTCAATTTTCCATATCATTTTTCTCAGTGTATTATAACTCTTCGCAGTAGAATGATGTCAACTTACAATCGTCACTGTTCAAACTATGACATTTTTAATTTATCATTTGCATAGTTTCGAAAAGTATTAATAAACTTAACAATTTGTCAATAGCAGTTCAGTTTTAAGTTTATTACTACGTATAGTATCACATAGTTTTATTACTTAGTATGTACTTAATATGTAGTTAGGAATTAGTATTATTGTTTTTTTTTTCGTTTTTCCTTTTTAATTTGATCTCAACTGCGTATTGTTGTATAATTAATGTTATTCGGAGTTTTTTTGTAATATAGTCTTTTGTATTATTTAGTGGATAGTATTGTGGGGTCTCCCTGTCTGTATCCCAAACAGTTAAAATAAATAAATATCGCTATGATTAGCAATTTCAATTTTCCCTATGATTTTAGAAATGGAAGGGAGTAGTGAGATAAGGCAGCAGCTTGATGGGATTGTTTGGTCTTTGTTAAGTTTGGGGATGGGTCTGATTAAGGCGGTTTTTCTGGTGGTTGGGAAGTGTTGGAGTTTGAGAACATGTGGTGTGATATAGCACAGTTGTGATTAAACGTAGATCAGTTGTATTAAATTAGATAATTACCTGTGAAAAGTGTTCCTCAAACGTAATTTTTAAATCATTACACAAATTACTTCATTCTACGTCAATAATTAATAATAACTATTAACACGTTGTAACGCATTTTAATTACTTTATTTAATGATTTATTCTGTAATTGAATTCCTAAGTTATTACTTCTACTTAATATTCCCGTTATTTAAATAGCAGTATTTATCAAGTCAACAACAATATTATGTAAATATGGGCAAGAGTTATTAGCGAGAGATAAAAGAAATAAAAAAAAATCATTCAGGTTCTTGTTCATCTTTTAATTGGTGTTCTGACCAACCAAGGTGAGTTGGATTATTTAAAATGAAATCAGTGTACCATAATGCGTGGTCCGATTCGGACGCTCTTCGGATTAACTCTCATTTTATTCGTTAAATCTCAAGGTACGTTTTAATTGTATATTTAATTTGTATTAAATTTATTGTTAAATCAAATAAACTGTTTGGATTAACCATATTTAAGAATTTCAAAAATGTAACTTACGAAATGGAGCCGTTGGAACATGTCAACACGTCTTACAATGTACCTCGGCCAAGAAAGAACTTCAGCAAAGATTACATCCTATTTCGTGTGGATTCTCTGGTAGATATCCTCTGGTTTGTTGCGATCAAAACAAAGCTGAAATTGCCCAAGGAAGAACTTCAAATAGAATTAGCGAAGAAAGTAATATATTAATAATTTAATATTACACATTAATTAATTAATATTTCATTTTATCCTTAAAGAATGTCGAGAATATTTAAAATTAGACATCAAAACTACGATATCAACCACCACTACTACAACAACACCAAAACCTGCGAAGACATTTTCTTTTAATCCTTATGTTATTAAAGGTGTGAATGCCTATTATGAAGAATATCCCCATATGGTAATTCAAACACAAATCATTATTTAACGTTTATATTTAAGGTAATTTTAGGCTATTTTGGGATATGGTCCATCAAAAAACCTCGAATTTAAATGTGGTGGGAGCTTAATCAGTGATCAATTCGTCCTAACAGCAGCTCATTGTTTAGAATCAAGAGAGTCGTAAGAAAACAACACAAATTTTTACTTTAAAGCATCTAATTTTTTTATTATTTTTAGTGGACCAGTTTCTTCGGTAAGATTGGGCGATTTAGACATAGCTTCAACAGTGGAACTTGCGGAACCTCAAAATTTTAAGGTCCAAAAAGTTTTTACTTTCCCAGAATACGATTCCGAATCTTTTTACCACGATATAGCTCTAATTAAATTGGATCGTCCGGTCATTTACACGAGATACGTAAAACCTGCTTGTTTACAATCAAAATTTGAATTAGAAAATAATAATTTAACGATAACTGGTTGGGGAGCTTTAGAATTTGGTGGTCAATCGCATAGCTATCTTCAAAAGGCTCCTTTACGCAGTTTGCCGGCAGAGAATTGTGCGAGAAGTCTTCCTAAACAAGCGAAATTAGCGAATGGTTTTGATGAAGAGTTGCAAATATGCGGGGGAGATCTAGAAACTATGGTGGATGCGTGTCAAGGTGATTCTGGTGGACCGATGCAATTGAAAATTCAAGAATTACCGCAAATGTATAGGATTGCTGGGGTTACATCGTTTGGAAATAATTGCGGATTAGTTCCCGGGGTTTATACAAGAGTCTCCAACTATATTTCTTGGATTGAATCCGTAGTTTGGCCAAATTAAATAAATGTAGCAGTAATTATTCGTTTTATTTGACCTTAAAATTTCTTAAAACGCGATAAGTGTTTTTAGTAGTTTAAATGTCAATACACGCATTAAATTTTCAAGGTTTTCAAGTTTTCACATAAGTAGGCAAATTTCTGTTTCTTTTAATTTTTTTAGTAATTACTGTGTCGCATATCTTTGTGAGTGTTGATCTGAGCGAAAAGGATATGGAAATTGTTTTTATTTATTTATTTATTTATTTATGTACATTGGACACAGCACAGGACGAACCCAATAAAAGCTGTGTCACTAAAAAGAATACGAACAAAACAAAATAATAAAGACACAAAATAACATCAGTAGTGAACAGTAGTAAAAAAGTAAAATAAAATAAGATAAGTAAAATAAATGNTGAGATATGGAGTTTTAAAGAGCATGTTGAAATTTACCAAAAAAACGAAAAACGCTAGGTACCAATAACTGTTATCAAAGTCAACCTATTTTTTCACGCACAATTAAACAGTGTAATAAAAACTATAGCATTTCATTTAAAATAGCGAAGTTATGGTCTACTTCCGGTAGACCGAAAGTGGCGCCCATCTTGAAAATATTTTAGATCGAAATTTCTGAATGAACAACCCATGCTACCAAAAAATCAAATCTCTACGAATAGTGGAACCTGAAAAAGTTCTAACGAACCAGTTACATGAGACAGCCTGTACATACCGATTGGTAACTTTAATTTTAGGAGATACACCCAACACGGACGTACGTATAAGTATACTTGTGTGTGTGCATATGCGCGCGGAGTATGTTTGTGGGAGGGGAATCGCAAGAGTAGTGGATCGGAGAGCAGTCAGTCGTTTGACATCGTTCAATGATAAGAAATATTATAAAAATAATAACTAATATAATAAATGAAATTCAAATAAGACAAAGCAAATTCTTAATTCTAAAAATAAAAACAATTCGTAAGTAACTGAAATAAACTTTGTAAAACAACAAATAAAACAAAAAACTATAAAAATAAAATATTTTTTATATTAGGTGTTCAAATAAACCACCATTCTGTGCTAAACAATAGCCCAATCTATCGTAAAAAGTTCGCCTTACATTCGCTAGTATATCGGGACTAATATCCTGTATACAATTGCGAATTTTTGTTTGTAAGTCATCCAGATTGGTTGTCCTTTCTTCATCAAAACCATAAATTTTCGATTTTAAATATCCCCATAGAAAAAAATCATTGGGGGCTAAATCTGGTGATCTAGGCGGCCAAGTTAACGTTCCGCAAATAGATATTACACGATTTGGAAATTGTGCGTTAAGATACTCTTTAACTTGCCGGCTGTTGTGAGCCGGGCAACCATCTTGTTGGAACCAGATACTTCCAAATTGAACATTGTCTAATTGTTGAAGCGATGGGATTACGTCATTTTGCAAAATGTTTAAATACTTATGACCATTTAAATTTCCTTCTATGAAAAAAGGACCGATAATATGGTCACCTACTAAGCCAGCCCAAACATTTAATTTTTGGGGATATTGTGTACGAGCCGCATAAACTTTGTGTTCATTGTCACGACTCCAATATCGAGCAACGCTGGGATTATGCCGACCATGCAAAGGAAATGTAGATTCATCGGTAAATAAAATGTTTTTTATAAAATCAACATTTCCGTTGGCCATTTCCATCATAGTAAAGCAAAATTCCGCCCTTGTAATATTATCGTTCTCGCAGAGTTCCTGACTTTTTTGTACCTTGTACGACCTGTACCCGTGTTTCTTTAATGTTTTTAGGACGGCAACATGGCTGATAGCAAACGTCTCCGCAACTTGTCTGCTTGACTGATTTTTATTGCGTTCAACATCAGCACATATCATCGTATCACGTAACTCATCTCTTTTACCCCTTCGTAATTTGTGTTTCTGTGGAGACACACATCCATGTCGCTCAAAGTTTTTAATAATATTTGAAATTGTTCCGCGACTAGGAATTGATCTGTTTTCATAGGCCACAGGAAACAAATTAATTATTTGGGCTACAGAATTGCCACCATAAAACCATTTTATAATCTGTACCTTTTCCGCTACAGTAAACAACATCTTAGTTTTTTTTTGCTAGGGTTAACTGCAAAGCGATGCGACCAACTTCGCCTCTCAACAATCTATGAACGATTCAATTTGTGCATTACCCCTACGCTTGTTTATCCCCCACTTAACGACACCGAATATACACACACGCGTATACTTATACGTACGTCCGTGTTGGGTGTATCTCCTAGAATTAAAGTTACCAATCGGTATATTATGAATATTATTATTTATTTGTTAGGATTTGTATTTCAAATGTGGTATGTACCTGAATTTCAGAAGGAAACAACTCTACTGTTGACTTAGCATATTTTTCAAACACATCAGCGGTAATTTTTTTGTTATCTGAAAACATACATTCGACGATTATATGTACGAGATCTGTCTGATGTTTTTTGTCTAAGGATTGATGTTGCTGAAAATATTTTAATACCAGTTGACCTTTAATGGTTTGTTTTAATGTCTGTTCTAAACTTTCTTTGGTAAACTCCGACCAGAGAGTGGGCGGCATAGACTAAAAATTACCTCGTTTTACTAATTACTTAATTAAATTATAAATTATAATTTGCGTTCCATTAGTAAAAAAGAAAATTGGCTAATAGGCTTGTTTTAGTTCGAGAGTTGTGGAGTTCTGAACGGTTCTGAACTAAAACAAGCCTAATAGAAGTAACTGAGCTTAAGTAACATATAAACAAATCAATAAGCAGGTTGTCATTCCGCATAATAATATAAAAATATATAAATAAAAAACTTACATCGTCCGGCGCCGGACTAATTACAAACGGAATATTCTCTAACCATGAACCGAGGGGTAAACCGCTAGTTCAAATTTTGTACACCTACTTCCCCTTTGATAAATAATTCCTTATACTTCCTACTTACATTCCTAGTATTTCCCTGTACTTCCGTGTATTTCCTCATAATTCCTTATACTTCCCGATACTTCCCCGTACTTCCGTGCACTTCCCCGTAATTCCTCTTACATACTCGTACCTCCTCTCCCTTCGGACGGCATATCCACGTGTGCATTTAAGTAAAACACCCAAATAAAACTCAATAAAAATTAACATATTCTTTGGCAAATGAAAAACATTGAGTTTTTCTATATAAAAACAGAAAATAATAATACTGACAAAACAGATTTAAAGCTTTTTATAATTTTGTTTGAAAGCTTTGTATAATTTCTTTATTTCTACGTCATCATGTCTGCTAATTTGAAATATGCCGTTACCAAATAAATTAATGGGACCGTAAAATACATACTCTTCATCTACAACCGCGATGTCTGGTGTTTTCAGCCATACAAAAAAATCCAAATCTTGTCGTAAGAACTGAATTTTGTACGTTTTGCTGTCGGTTTTTTGAACAGTTTTGCCTATATAGTACCATCTTTCTTCATAAAGTACAGCGTAATATTTGTCAACCTAAAAGTATGAATTAGGTGAAATAAAACATTTAGACAAAAAAAAGAGTATCATCGATCTGATTAATTATTTTGGGATTAGCAGATAAAACATTTGTTGCGTCGTTTAGTAAAGAAAAAAAGTCTGTTATAAACAGTTGATTATTGTCAATATTGTCTCTTTTGCGTTTAGATCTTTCACTTCTTCCGTACTTTTCTAATTTCCATTTTGAAGAGCTAGTCTGGGGAGAATTATTACGAGTAACAATTTTTCGTGTAGGAACTCGTGTAAGGGTGTCAGTCGAGATTTCGGTCTTTGTTGGAGTTACACACTCGGTTACGCCGATTGATACTTAATCGGATACTTCTGAGGAAACATTTTCTTTATCGGTTTCCGAGGTGGTTTCATTAAAGTAAATATTTTCAATACTCTTCAGACATTCATGATGAGATGTGTCAGTACGGTCAACAGGTGTTACGGAAATATTTTCTAGTATAATAATCTTTTGTGAATTATTTTCAACTGAAGAACTTGCACGTGAAGAACACGGATTTGGGTTCAACGTCAAATAATCAGTAATTGATGTTTCCCTGCGTTTACTTTCAACAATAGTTGCCGGTGCATTAATTTGATCGTTCGTATGCGCAGTAATATGTTTACTTAAAAAATGTTTATGAATATTAGCATATATCCATCTTGGTTGACAAGTGTCTTTTTTGGACACCTTTTGGATTTTGCAACTTTGACCACAAAAGCAAGTCACAGTGCAAGAAAAATGTTTATCTAATCCTTTTTGAATTTTTAGGCTTATACCATTACATTTTGATTCAAATATTAACCATTGTTCCTGACTAACTTTTGTTTTAAGCCAGCACTTAAGAGCTTTTAATATAACGCACTTTTCTGTTTCCTGATCTGTAGCTGCAGTCTCACTTAATGGTTGTGCTGAGGGGGGTGGTAATGTCTGCTCAGAAATGTTTTCAGTTATGTCGGTTTGCGTAGACTGAGTCGATATTATTCTCTCGTATTTGGATTTATAAAATTTGGAAATTAAAACTATTTGTTTTTTCGTGCCAGATAGCAATTTAAATTGCTGCGGATTATTTTTAAAAATCCCGTAAAACAAATTTTTTTCTTCCAAAGTTAGTAATTCATGTAATTCATCATTTCTAATAAATGCTTCTATTTTTTCTAGATCATTTTCGTCAATCGTACCAAGCAGCACCTCATTATCAAATCCACTAATAATAAGAATTTCCTTAACATTTTCATTTAATTGAAATTGTAGAAAATTTTCGGCCTCTTGAAAACAGCGATAGCGATTAGAATTTACGAGCGAATTTAGTACCATTGACTCTTCACGATATGTTAACATAAATTTAAATTTTAATATGATACTCATTCAATCTTACCTTTGAATGAAAACGATGCTTCTACTAGTAACAATTCACACACCCTTTATGAAACAAAAACTGCGCACCTAATACTAGATCTAGCTTGTTTATGGAACATCGTAACTTCGATCGTTAGATATCGTGTTTAATCGTGTTCGATCGTGTTTCAATATATCCCCAAATTTCCCTAAATAATTTCCCGTACTTCCCCAATAATTCCCCGTACTTCCCCAAACTTCCTCGATAATTCCCCGTAATTCCTTGTACTTCCCCGTAATTACTCGCATCTCCCCACAATTCCCCAGACTTCCCCATAATTCGTCGAACTTCGTCATAATTCCTCCACATTTTCCCTATTTTGTACACCTACTTCCCCAGCGGTTTACCCCTCGCCATGAACCCACACTTGATTGTGCCGCTGACTTTGTTGATGCTAAAGGTGTGAAATAACCCTAAGTGCACAGAAATAAAATATAAGTATTTGCTTAACTGCGTCTACAATCATAATATCATACATTTTCTTCTTTTCACTTGAATAGATTGCATCGAAATTTAATTCGTTTCCCGAATTTTTCGTACGGTATTAAGTTATCAACGTCTGATATAGTAAGTTCTTTGAGAACTTCTGTCTATTCCCTTTTCTAAAATTAATTTTTTTTTATTGGATTAATTAGCGAAATAAACAATGGCAATTACGGTATATCTCGTTGCTAAATTAAACAAATTATTTAGACGCCACCCGTAAATGTATCCGGAAAACTGAAATTATTCGTTTTAAATTCAAGTCGCACCAGTCATCATAAGAGAATGAATAAAAAACTAGAAAGATACTGTAACGAATTTCTTGACTCTTGTCGATGACGTCACGACGTCGCGCCGGCAAACCTACCGCATAAACAGTCTTTGCTCGAATCTAACATAAGACGCATATTTTATTAAACATTTTCAGGCCTCCGATTCAAATGTTTGCGTATGTTATATTCCCCTTTTTCTATTCTGTAACCTAGCCAACACTGATGCGACGTGAATTTAAAACGAATTATTTCAAGTTTCCGGGTACATTTACGGGTGGCGTCTAAATAATTTGTTTAACTTAGCAACGAGATATACCGTAATTGCCGTTATTTGTAACTAGAAAAATGATTCCCTTTTCTTACCTTTGAATTCATCTATAAACTCTGGCAAGTTCCACTTGATGAGCAATGAACTTACAATATCGGACTCGTCCATTTCTTCCATTTTCTTCGCTAAACGTGGCTAAACTGTACGTCCCTACTCATTCGCAATCACCACCAAACTAAGAGAGCACAGGGAGCACAGAAACTAAAGATGAACACCAATGAACACGTGTGAACACGTTCGAGGTCGATCGAAATCACGCGATAATACCACGTGAACAAAACAAAATAATGTACCTTTTCATATAAAAGTGTTATTTTTAATGGCAATAACTAGAAGGTTTTGAATTAAAAAAGTTACTTCTTAAAATAAGATGTTCAAGAAGTTTTGTTAAACAACAAGGACACACTTTTAATTCAAGAACTTTTTATCTTTCGCTAAAATTATATTCATATTACCACAAAAGTCTTTCATAATTTAATACAATAATTTTTGCGATTTAAAATCAACAACTGACATTATTAAAGTAACAACCTATCTAGTTTAAAATAAAATACTATCTGGTAGTAACAACAGTTTTCACTTTTAAAACAAAAGGATATTGGTTAAGAGTGATGCCATCTTATTTTAAAATGACATTTTTCTCTCAGTGTAGACGGAATACAATATCGGCAAGCGGGGTCAAGGGACCACCCAATTTCCGATACATTAAAGTCACCGCAAATCAAGAATCCCTCATTAGGGTGTCGCTCAATCACATCTATTAGGGATTGGGAGAATTGCGAAAGCGCAGCGTTGTCATTCGGCGGTATATAAGCACAACATATATTAAGCACAGGGGAACCACTTCTTAAAGCTACACACACCGCTTCAACACCTGTAAACCAGTCCGGTCGCTCCGCACTGGGAATCGCCCTAGAAACGGCCAACAAAACACCGCCACCACGCCGAGCACCCACATCAACGTTCATGAACCGGTCGCGCCTGTAAACAACATACGAGTCGGAGAAGAACTCCGCGGATTCAATTCCGGGACAGAGCCATGTTTCTGTAAGAGACACAACATCCAAATCCACGTTTAGAAGGTTTGTGCTAAAAATAGTGCTTTTGTTTCGCAAACCGAGCACATCTGGTAGTAGATAGAGATGGATTTGTTTGGCGTCATCATTAAGAGAAGAATATTAGTGAATTATTTAAATGCGATAAAAAAATTATTCCAGTTTACGCAAATCTTCGTCGGTGTTCATTTGAATGACACGACTACTGTCGTTTTTCCGGACAAGAATCTTACAGTTGCGCGTCCAGATGTATTTGTAATTCTTTTCTCTAGCCACGGCTCTAGTAGTGCCAAATAATTTCTTATTAGCAACTGTGAGATGCTGATTAATGATACACTGCTGTGATAAACCCTCAATCGCAAACCCTGGACGGGATCCCTTACGGAGGGATGTTCTTTGGTCGGCTCTTATCTCCAAATTGCGGCACACGATGAACGACATCAAATCATCTGTTTTTAACGGGATCTCAAGAAAGTCACCTATTTTATTAATGATTTGAGTAATATTCTCATCCGACTTTTCAGGAATACCCTGTATCTCCAGGTTGTTGCGCCTGGAATACTGCTCTAAGTCGGCGACCTTAGTGGACAAATTGTCAACTTGTTTCCTCAACAAAGCATTCTCTGTACACTACTCCGATTACTTTACACTTCTCTTTAAGGAGTATTTCGAAATCGGTAATCTGGTCAGAGCAGAATTGCACCGACTTTATAAGATCGTCATTATTAGCTTTCATATTCCTAAGTTCCGATCGAATTTCCCTAACCATCTCATAAACGGCATCGAGAGTCGGGACGGGGGCTGTGACACGATTTAAATCATGCGGTAATATTGTCCTCCTACGATTATCAGAGGATGAACGGCAACCAGGACATTTCCACGACGATCCGGGGGTGGAGAGCGCAGAAGCTGCCGCTTTGGAGAGCTCCACGCATTTGGCGTGAAACCAAAGATCGCAGGACACGCAGTGTATCTCTGAAAAATTTGTCCTGCTTTATCTCTCCCCACCATCTGTCCGCATACCCCGCACTGTGATGACGGCATCGAAACTAGTTTTTAAACCACGAACCGAAACTAATAGGTCAAATGAGATAATTACAAATTACTCTTATGCAGTACAATCAGCGGAAGAAAAACAAACGAAAACGGACGGAGCAGGTTAACACGAGTGAAACGACACTGATATAATACAACTCCGACAACTTTTAATCGTCAAAAAAGAAAAAATTAGAAGGAACTACACGATCACGTACATTTGCTATGGCGTTAACTCGATGAATGTAGTTGAACTACTAGTTGTTGAACTACTAATTCTCTGTTAAAGATAATCGTCAACAGGGGTCATAATTGTTGAACAAAAGTACCTTTCGCAAGGTTCCTCTTGCCCTATGGAGACTTATGATTATTATTCATAATCCATCAGTCTTTATATTATTCTCTTAAACCTAACAATTACGGGATGCATCATGAGTTCATTGAAATTAAACAAAAATAAAACCCAACATAAAATAAAAAATTAAAGAAAATAAAAATTTAATTTTTGCTTTTTGGGTGTTCGGATTACTGCGGTTCGGATTATCGAGGTTTTACTGTATTAGTTATCCTTGAGTGGAATTATTGATGGTTGATCTATGTGTGTTATAGAATTGGTAGCCTTCTATCGCTTATCATCCCTCAACCATTAGTTTGTCGCCTTTCCTTTTCCAAATAACCTTTAGTTGTTTTTCTCCAAATGTATGTGCCTGTGTGATTATCTCTTGTAATTCGACAAAATGTAATCTTGTTGTTAAAATATTGTAAATATAATTAATTTTTCTTTTTATGAAATCTACTTCTCTACATATAGTGGATTGAGGTTACATCAAGTGGACAGGGAGTTTTAAATGTCTTGGGTTTCTTATTAAATATATCGCGATAATTAGTTAATAGTATCTAAATAAATATTTATGTATTCATTTTTTATTTATTATCAAATTATTTTTATTTCTTACAACACATTATATGGTTCAAAAGATAAATCTTGAAATTGTTTCAAATGTTGTGTAGGTCTTATCATCATTTTGGCAGCTTTTAAGGAATAATTTTTTAACCAAGAAAACCAAACAATTCCTTTACCATCATCTGTAGACTGTTTATAATGAAATCCGTTTAAATTCGTATTAAAACAGCTATCGAACCACCATCCGCTTCCATAAGTAACAGCACAAGAATGTTTCGAGTTATCATTTTTTTTATCATAAGTACTAAATTTCATGTTATTATTATAGAGGAGATCATTTGAGAGCGTCCCACTAAAACGTCCGAGTGTTAATCGATAATTTTCATATTCACTTGCAATTTTAAATGATTCATATTCAGCCCATTTTTTTTCGTTATCATAACTTTCCAATTCTATTCGTAATATTAGGTCGTTTTGATTCGATAGTCGGTGAAGATAATCGTTTCCGAACCAAAATTCTCTACGTAAATCGCCAAAACCATGTTTATATTGGTACCAAGATTTATTGAAATTTTCCTGGTATTCGAATGAATTTCTGTTTTGGATCACCATCCAACCCTGTTGGCACGATCTCACTCCATAATCTCTCGTTTCTTCCTTTAAATTGATTAAATGTGTGTGAAATTTGAATATGCCAGATTGGTTTTTGACAGAGGTGCAAAATGTGTAATCGAAAGAATTTGATAAAGTCAAAGATTCTTCATTGATTGTTATGTTTGTGTTCGTTTCGTCTTGTTTGTTGCATTCTTTAATCAGTTTTTCGATATTTTCATTTTGCGATTTAAAATTTTCAGTTAAAACATTTTTGATATCGGTTTTTTCAAAAGAATTTTTTAAATTTTCTGTGGTATTTTCGACATTTTTTATTTTAGTTAAAACGTTTTCTAAAAGTTCATCTTGATGTTTTTTTTCTAGTTTATTATTAATTTGATCAGTTGATTTTTCTAAAACATTTATCTTTATGAAAATTTCATCGAGATGGACTGGAACCCGATTTAGTTTGTAATCTAAATCGTTTAATTTAGATTGTAATTCATCTCGAGTGTTTTCGATTAATACGATTGCAGTTTTATCGGCTTCTTTGGATTTAGTACAGTTTTCCATTAGATTTTCTATGTTTAAATTTTGTGATTTAAAGTTTTCATTGAGAACGTTTTTGATGTCGGATTTATCACACGAATCTTTTAAATCTTTTACATTAATTTCGATTTTGTTTATTTTACTTAAAACTTTCTCTAAAACTTCACCTTGATTTTTGTCGCCAAATTTATCATTAAAGGAATGTTTTAATTCATTTATGATTTTCGTGGACATTTCATCAAACATCGTTGGAATTAGATTTAATTTTGTTTCTAAATCGTTCATTTTAGCTTGAGATCTAAAAATAAAAATTTCTGTGGCTATAAAAACAGTAACTATTTAGTTAACTCAATTATTACTTGCTTATAATACCCAATTTTCTATCAAGAATTGATAGTTGAGAATGCAAAGATGAAACCTGTGATTGAACAGTATCACAACCTTGTACTTTTTCTTGTAAATTTCTTATATTAGTATCCATTATAGAAAGGAGATTGTTAATGTTATTAAAATCATCACACTTGTTTGGTTTCTCTTCTACAAGTATAAAAATGTTAATTAAAAATTAATTATTAGTTTTTATTATAGTACTTACTATTATTCGACATGGATTCTATTGAATTTGGAGTAAATAAAAATATTGCAACAAACAAGAAAATCATCTTCACAATCGCGTTTGCCAATATGTATAACATTTTCAGTATCTCTTGGTTATATATAATAAAGCATCACTGAAAAAATTTCAAGGGCAACCTCTTCATCGAAGTTGTCCCTTAATGGTCCCCGTATGGGAGATTCTCGATGTTGTGCAGAAAACGGGTCTATTTTTATGCCACACTACCTCGATTTGAATTCTTGATAAAAAAATATTAATAAAATGTAAATCAGATGGATTTACATATCAGGTGGTAATTACACTGTGCTGCAAACTTGAACTTTTTTTTGTGTACAGTAGATCCTAAGTATGGCAGCTGTGAGAAACTTGAATGAAAAAAGAAACACGTATCGTGTTACAAAAAAAGTTGAAGGCATATTTAAAATCAGCAATCCAAAATTAACCCGGCGACTGCGTTGTGAATTTATCTATCATTAATTGTGTGGTGGGGTTATAATTACCCCAACTTTATTTTAACGGTGCAACAATAGAAAACACATTTTTTTAATAACTTTGAAAAATTAGTAGATTTTGTNCGAAATTGGAAGTAAACTTCTGTATCTTTGCTGGAGTGGATAATTCTTCAAGTTGTGGAGTTTTCCCCTTCTTAGGAAACTTAGCACTTTAAAATCCTCAGTGTCGCTTAAAGAGTTTTTGTAGTGTACGACACCTGTTTCTTTATATTAAAGCCATTGTACAAGGGGCCACAAGAATGGTTCACCAGATACATTTTTTTTTGGCATACCAATACAGTTTTTAGTAAATGAGCAAAGTCAAAAAATTCGTTCTGTTCCATCTCATGAACCTTGAACTGGTTCTTTCTTCCTGTTCCCCTGACCAACTGGAACCAATCGTGTGAGTGGAAAATAGGTTTTGCAATTTTTTTTTTCTGTTTCTCTATCATGGAGTGATCGATGTCACATTCAATGTGAGTATGGCCTGGTACTAGGAACTGGTGATTGATTATAAGATGGGGAAATTCAGCGTGTTAGCTCTCGAGTTAACACGCAAACGTCCCGGGTTCGAACCCCGGTGAATTCACGTTGAGTCGCCCCCCGTCCTTCGGAGGGGACGTTAAGCCGTCGATCCTCCAGTCTAACATCTCTGGTTGTCGTTAGCACGCATGTGTGTAAGGCTCGACTTATAGGGACGAATGCGCGTGAGCGCCCTCTGACCCCTCGGGGTCGGGGCGGCGGTACTCGTCATTGGAAACGAGTAAGCGGTATCGTCACCTAAACGAGATCTTCTCTACCATCTCGAGCCTCCAAGGAAGTATGCTCAAGGGGCCCACTGGGGCCTAAGTGCGCGTAAAAATTACGCACCCCTCTACATACATACAAGATGGGGAAATTCACTTTGCACTTTTAAGAACATGGCAGCAACATGACTATTTTTGTTCTGCCCTCCACATGTGTCTGAGTACAATGTGACTTCAGTCACGGANATAGTTTCATACATTTTAAATACACACTGAAAAAAAAGTTTAGTTGTAAAAAACGAAACATAAAAAAAAATGCCTAATACATTTTATTCAAGTTTTATTTTGTAAACTAGACATACCGGTAACAAACAAATACATCAAAAAAAATTGTAAATTTGGAAATAATAAAAAAGTTAATCATCCATGTGTTCTTCATGAATTGCATATTTATTACAAAAATTTATACAACGTTCTAAGCATAGAAAAGTTTTACATTTCACACATTGTTTTTGACACTTTCTGTCTTTTCCGCGAGGACATATGCCACATCTGGACGACTTCTTGTTTTTTGGTGCTTCAGACTTGTGCTCAAAACCAAAAGTTTTTTTTAGTTTGGTTTTTATGTCACATGACACTCGAGGATTTTGATTTCTCCTAGTTGCATATGGTTTAATAAGTGCCAGACTAAGTTGTTTTAGAAAGTGTCTTCTTTTTATCTTCATATTTGGATTATTAGATTGGTGAATAACATAACTGTTAATACCTGCATTATTCAGTAACGAGAAAAATATCGTTAGCGGCCATCTCCTACTGTTTCGAGAAACATTTTCCAAATATTTGTATCAAATATCCTATAACAAATTTTCTGTCATACTCATCACTTACCCAATCTGAATCCACATAACATTTAAATGGTAATTCCTCAACATTTCTTTTGTATGTTAATTTAAAATCTACTGTTCCTTTTAAATATCGCATCAATCTCTTCGTATGTGTGAAAACATCATTTTGATTTTTATCCTGAACTCTTGTAAAATAATTCAAAGCAAAACTTATATCAGGTCTTAATCCTGACATCAAATACATCAAAAATCCTATTAATTCTCTGACAGGTTGTTTTGAATGTTTATTTTCTTTCACTTCTATTTTCAAGTTGGAATCTATAGGTGTTGTACATGAATTGCAGTGTTCAAAATTAAAACGCTTTAAAATTTTTAATTCAAATTCATTCGTCAGTTCGTTTATACACTTTTCAACATTATCTATTTTATTTCCAGCCAAAATTATGTCATCAACATATAAAATTAAAANTTGTTTTTCAACAGAACCCTCTGTTCACTGCATGCTGGATTACTCTGCAATGAGGACTTACGGCTATTACGTGTCGGGTTCAACGAGCATGGACTTGTGGGGTTTACTAAATTTTAAATTAACGAAAAAGTAATTTTTACAGGAATATGTAATTTTTTCAGTCAATAGATTATTTTTTCCTCAACAGATGCTACTAAAATGTCCATTTAGACCAAAAGTGGACTTACGGGTTTTGCAGATTAGGCCGACGATATGCGATATCTATGTAACTATTAAGTTTTTAACAAAACATTATTAAGAAAATCTCTTCAGTTTTACCTCTAGTACCTACCCTTTTAGTCTGCTCCGTATGTTATAAATCACCCTGTATAAATAGTTTCTGTTAACTCTCCATTTAAAAACGTTGTTTTTATATCTAACTGTTTAAATACAAATCGTCTTATCGAATTTCCGCATATTTCTGCTGGTGTAACTTTATCTTTTAATGATTCTGATTGGACATCTGTTTAGAATGTATGTTACATATAACAATGCTTCATTCCATAACTGTTTCGGTACTTTAGATTCATACATTATTGTTCTCGTTCTTTCAGCCAATGTTCTGTTCATTCTTTCTGCACCTCCATTATGTTCTGGTGTATATGGTATTGTATAATCCAATATTATCCCTTCATTTTTGCAAAACAATTTATAATCTTTAGAAATATATTCCCGTCCGTTATCACACCGAAATTTAAATATTCTCATTCCAAAGATTGACCTTGTCATTTGAAAATATTCTTTAAATTTATCAAACACTTTTCCTTTATGTATTATCATATAAATTGTTGTAAAATGTGAATAGTCGTCAATAAAAGTTACAAAATATCTGTGACCATTCCTCGATTGTGGTGTTATAGGACCACAAACATCCGTATGTATGATCTCTAACAATCGTTTACTTTTAGCTCGTGTTTTAAATGGTAGTCTAGACATTTTGCCCGCAATACATGGTTCACAATAATTTATTTCTTCTATTTGTATTTTGTCATTTATCCCATTCACATAATTTCCTTTTATTAATTTACTTAAACCTAAATAATTTAAGTGCGCAAAATCTACGATGCCATTTTATAACCTCATGATTATTATTTCGAATATTATAACATTCACCCTTTATTATTGCAACATTTATTAATTAATTAATCTATTATTTTTATATAACTTTGCCTCAGCATTTTCAAAAATTATTTTCATAGAATAATTCTTTGGTGTTAGGTATTATGGGCTTAAGTCAAAAATTGTAATTTTCCACAAAATGAGTTTGAAAGTTCTATAATTATTCGTAAATCGCATTATTTTTTTATAGAAGTAACAACAGCACCAATTCATTACTGAAATGGTAGTTAATAGCTAGGTTACAACATTTAAGAAAAAAAATGAGTATTTACCTGAATTTGGCTGACTTAAGTCTTCAAGACCCTCTGATTAATAACTACCTGTATTTATTTTGTTTGACGTAAGGACTTAAGTCAAGCAAAAAAACGGCGCTGAGTGATTACATTTTTATTCAATAACAAAANTTGTTCTAGTTCTTTCAGCCAATGTTCTGTTCATTCTTTCTGCACATCCATTATGTTCTGGTGTATATGGTATTGTATAATCCAATGTTATCCCTTCATTTTTGCAAAACAATTTATAATCTTTAGAAATATATTCCCGTCCGTTATCACACCGAAATTTAAATATTCTCATTCCAAAGATTGACCTTGTCATTTGAAAATATTCTTTAAATTTATCAAACACACCTCCTTTATGTTTTATCATATAAATTGTTGTAAAATGTGAATAGTCGTCAATAAAAGTTACAAAATATCTGTGACCATTACTCGATTCTGGTGTTATAGGACCACAAACATCCTTATGTATGATCCCCAACAATCGTTTACTTTTAGCTCGTGTTCTAAATGGTAGTCTAGACATTTTGCCCGCAATACATGGTTCACAATAATTTATTTCTTCTATTTGTATTTTGTCAATTATCCCATTCACATAATTTCCTTTTATTAATTTACTTAAATCTAAATAATTTAAGTGCGCAAAATCTACGATGCCATTTTATAACCTCATGATTATTATTTCGAATATTATAACATTCACACTTTATTATTTCAAAATTTATTAATTAATTAATCTATTATTTTTATATAACTTTGCCTCAGCATTTTCAAAATTATTTTCATAGAATAATTATTAGAATCTGGGTGTCTAATTTTTTAACCGATATAATTTTTTTCTTAAATTAGGAACATAGAAAACATTCTTAATGTTACACAAAATTTTCTCATTATTTATAATACTATATACTGATATATTTCCTATCCCTACCGCATCCAAACTACTATTATTTTCACCACTGCTATTCTAATTGGATTTTTTCAATTATTTTTTCAATCATTGACTAAATGATCAGTACAACCTGAATCTACTAATGAATTTGAAATTCATCTCTATATATATTTGCTTGCCTATTTGTATCCAATTTCCCCATAAAGCAT